AAATTCAATGAAGACGTCAGTTTAAACGAAATTTGCTGAATACATCTCATACTACTTATTTACTGGTAGTCTCTAGACTCTACTTACATACGAAAAACGTGTATTAAAGAGCCGACCAGTCTAGTTGTCATAGTTTATAATAAGAATTTCGAGACTAACAGCAGCTCATATTTCGTTTAAGTTGATGAGGAGACAGGTGGTTGAATTCCTCCTAATCACTTGAGTATTTTGAATTTCACACTTTGCCCTGCTTCCAAAAAAGTATTTCCATCTCATCTAAACTCGTCTCGTCGGCACCGCCAGCGGGACTCGAACCAAAGCACTGAAGCGTATCATCTCAGAACGTCAACCACCACGAATGCCGGTGAATCAAAGGGAGATATGCATTTCACAAGTCACATTCTGTGGTGGGATTATCGATGAGATTATACGCTCAACTGACACGGTTCGAGTCCCGCTGCCGGTGCTGACGGGACCAGTTCAGGTGAGGCTCTGTGAAATTGAATGGATGTGGGAAAATTTAACTACCCGTCCCCTTATCACCTTAAATGAAATAGTGTGAATGCCTCACATATTGTTGTCATAGTGTTGGTATGAAGCTTGTACTAGAATGAGTTGCAGCGCATCACAACGCATGAATGTTTTTCACCAAGTTTTTCTCACAAACTAAAGATCTCCACAACAAAGTTGTAGTCTATAAGATGTCATTGGACTCTCTGAGACCCAACATTACAGATCAGTTTACATGTTCTGCAATAGCCCGTCGGGAAGCAGTCGAAATCAGATTTGGTGCATCAGGAGACAATCGCGGCCGTCTCTTGGGGTTCATGCAAATGAGTCGGACAGTGTTGAGTCGACTAGCCTCGTTTGTTTGCCTCACCTGTTTGCGTATGGCGAGTATGAACTAGGGCACCTTTAAACTCGGTTTAGAACACAAAATTCACTCTGTATTCCCATTGCGGCATCTACTTTAATACCTCATACACAATATAACATACTTTATGTGTACATTTTTTTATTTTGCACCGAATTACGTCATAAATAGGCTCAATTTATATGCTTCTTCCATCCGCAACTGCCGATCGTGCCAGCAATTAATGTCACAAAAGGCCTAATTTTTGGTTTCTTTTGACCAACCCTGTCTTGAGCTGTTTCCTTGGAATAAATCACACTCGATGCAATAGAATGGAGCAGAATATCCTATTCTAGAGTTGATGCATCATGGGCAAATACACGAGTTGGTACCACTTTCAGAGGTGGACGAGGAGGATTTACTAAATCCTACGAACAGCCCGGAAACAAGAGACAGTCATGGTCGGCAAAATGTGCCGAGGGTTCGAGGGATGAGGAGTTTATTGCTCTGCGGCCTCTCACATCCGCCTCAGACTCCCAGTTGAGATGGGCTGGAAGATTGTTCGGGCTGTGGACAGTGCTTCGGGGGCCGGTCTGTCTGTCCGTGGCCTATTGCCCCCCAGCGACAGAAGCCAGCCGTCCCGCTGTGCGTCACTAATTCGCTCACATTTGACGTCGAGGAAGGAAATCGCGAGCAAGCTTGCATTCGCCAAGAAATGCAGAATACTGTCCAAATGGCCTGTGCTTGTAGCGAGCTCTGTCGATGGGAGAAAGGGTTAGGTTCATTAATTGTGCAAAGAAGAGATTCACTCGTCGACCCCAACAGAACCAGTCATCCGGCCTTCATTATTCTCGACGTAACCATGACAAGCATCTTCTTTATGAGCTTAAGATGAGTTAAGGACTGTTAGTTGAGCTTTTGCCAAAATAAAATGAAATATCTCACGATGTTGTCGAATTGAAATTAGGCCTTGCCACACAAAAATTCTTCACATCCAGACAATACAAAACAGCTATTTTCGCCTTGCCACGTCGTTTATCAGCATTCCCAATGGGATTATGGGCCAGGTCATGCGTATTGTAACGACATGTAAAAACTTCCGTATTCAACCAAGGTTGGCGGGGGATAGAAGGGCAGATTTTAAACTTAAAACAAGCCTGAACTCTTCCAAGTAACATTTTACTTCAAAGTTCCAATTAGTCCAATATGTGTTTTCAAAAGGAATCGACGATACTACTCACACTTAGTATGAAGATGGCTCGAAACTATCAGGAGTTCTTGAATAAGCTTGTAGATATTAACAAACAAACAAATGTATATATATAACTACATCTACACTTATATATATATATTTTTTTCTATCTATCTATCACTATTTACTTAACTTTTCTTGCTTTATATATATTTATTTATTTATTTATTTATTTATTTATTTATTTATTTAATCATATCCTCAATTATCTCTTTCTTCCTTTCTTTCTGTTTTTTTTATCCATTTCTATTTATTTGCTAATTCTTTACTGCTTTTCCTCCTTTCTTTTTTCTATTCAATCTTTATTTTGTTATACCCTTACTCCTTTCTTTCTTTGTAGAGTTTGATGAAAACGTCAGCTCAGCTCATATCATTGTGGGAAAATTCTAATACCAGTCCTTCATCACCTTACACGAAATAAGGTGAATACATATCATATTCTTGATTAAGCTTGTAGATATTAACACACAAACAAATGTATATATATATACTTCTATATCTATATTTATATCTATCTAACACTATTTCCTTAATTGTGCCTACTTTATTTATTTATATCCTCAATTATCTCTTTCTTCCTTTCTTTCTGTTTTCTTTTTATCTTTCCCTATTTATTTGCTAATTCCCTACTGCTTTTCTTCATTTATTTTTATCATTCATTCCTTATTTTGTTATACCCTTACTCCTTTCTTTATTTTTTTCAGTTTTATCCACCTACACATTCCTCTATCTATCTATCGAGCTTTCTGTTTACATTTATTTATTTACTTACTCTTATTCTACTTTCTTTCGTTAATTCCATTTATTTCCCTAGTTTTATTTATTCATTCATTCCTTTCCTTCTTTCTTTACTTTTTATTTTAATTATTCTTTTAAATACATCTAGCTTTATTTTACTTGTTAGTAAATTTACCAGGTGGAGTAGAGCCGGTTTGTTTTCTTTACTAATTGTTTACCTTTATGCAAGGTATGAAAACTCGCCTGACGAATGAAAACTCATCCCGTTACCACCTGAACCGAAGGATGAGGTATCGTGTATTGCGTCAAACCGAATTTCATAGTACAATAAAACGATTGATTTGTCGTCATTCAGTGAAATCGAATTACGAATCCCTTCATCAGACACCTTCATACAAAAAAATAAAAAGTTCCACAACAATATTATCACAGGAGACTCATCGAGACTTAACTAATTCTAGCTTTCATTTAGTACTATAGTCAGTTATTATGCATGTTAATATAAATGCAATTGAATGTACCCTAATCTCGCCTCCCAAAGGTTATTATCTCACAGGCTGGGCTAAGAAGGACTACTCGGTTCCACTCCAGCGCAAACCAAACTCAGATGCTGGGCTACAGCCTTGCCGCACTATCACGAGTTTCAATGATTCACAAATTTTCCCAAATTTAATTATTATTCCTGGGGTACATACATTTTTTATTCAAGATTTACTGCTAGTATCGAAACCTATAAAAAGATAATTAGAACAGGATAGTCAATTGGTCCCTTTAACAATGCCAATATAAAAATGCAATATGGTAGAAGACTGGCTTATCTTGGAATTCAAAATTGTTCCGTAAGTCACTGGCACTTGAGGAAATGTGGCGTAGTGGTGGCATGTACAAGTTGAACTCCCTTGGGGTGTAATAATGGAACCCAAACGAGGTCGAGACGAGGTGTCTTCTCATCGTAGTGGGTCATCCACTATTATTAGCGAAACCGACTCAAAATGTGTTCAGACGTCTACATAAATGCATAATTGAAAAAAATTAAATTGTCGAATTGCATATAAGAGTGGCATGAATTCATCACGATTTTCCGAGGATGGGTTTTGATGTCGAGTGTGAAGAAATCCTGAAATACTATTTTTTTAATTTAGAACTAGTAAAGAGACAACCACGATTACTTGAGATTTTAAATTCCGAGAAATTCTTTTAAAATTTGATGTCTCCGTATACATTCGCCACAATTTTATCCTAAAAGGTTGGTAAGCAGTCTCAACCTGGACTTGGTTTAATTCTTAATCACAACGGGATCTGATCCCACAACATGAGGAGTCAGAGGCAGATGGGAAAGAGGCCACAGCCCTGGAGCCACTTGCTTGTATGGTTGGCCTGGAAATTCAAGGCTTGAACACACTTTTCATAAATCACGTCAAACTTGCCTGAATTATAATCAACTATTAAATTTGTAGCAAAGCGAATCTCCACTACTCTGGTTTTCTCTTAATAAACAAGTGATAAATGATTCAATCCCGATCGCAATACAGATATTTCTCGATTGTTGTTATGCCTCCATGTATTAAGTAGACAAAGTACATTTTTGCCACAACTATTTACAAATTGTGAGTAGTGTAGGAAGATGTAACCGAAAACAAAGTCTTTCAGGTTGTGTAGCCAAGACTCTATTGGACACAAAATTCATTAATAGGAGTCTTCGAAAGATTAATTTTCGAGACTGGTCTTTAGTTCGACAAAACAAATGAAGAAAAATAAATTTTTAATAAGGTTTTTTCCCACTAATAAGAGTTCTATATGAATGTAAGAAATTCTTGTCTCAGCCTCTCAGAGGTCTGACCGAATGCCGCTTTCGGTTGGTTACGGTAGGGCTCAATGCTCATCTTTAGTCTGCTCTACGGATAAGGCGTCGATGGCTCGAGAAGCAAAAAGTTAGCTTAGCTGCATGGAGATAATGCCTTCAAAAACCGACTTTTCCATATAATTGCGAATGACTTGTCACGCTTTTCCTTGAGGCTTAGGCTCCTTAGAACCAAGCGGTTTTGGATCAGGACTCCGGATGGGCAATTAACTGGAAACGGCAGATGTGGGTCGTCTGTCAGTTGGAAAGGCGTAAAGTGGCAATGATACGGGGAATAGGAAAGGGAGATGAGATTGGCACGACTTCCATATACATACACACACACACACACACAAACAAATGCATTTCTAAAGTGGAGGATGGTATTCAAGTGCTAATTTGCTAGTATGAAGTTGAGATAAGAATGGCATGATTATTTAGAGGAGCGAGAGCAATAGTGAGAAAGAATTATCTTCGTAAGAAAGTAGGGTTTCGAGACTACCAGTAAATCATTGTAATGAGATGTATTCACCCTATT